CCTTAGTCATTCATCTGGAGAAACCAGAGAACCAGAGAGCCCAGAAAAGTATCCAATCACTTCTACTAGCATGGTAGCAACAGTGTTGAATTCTAATGACTTGATGTTTGTGTGCCAGGACCTTCTGGTAACATGGCGAGCTCGTAGACCATTAAGCCACTGGGACTCGACCCAAAATCTTTGCTTTCTCTTGCTTTGTGTGCTACGTGGATGGAGCACAGTAATTCGACCTGCTGCACATCTGTGTAAAGATTTATGTTGAAACCAGTCAGTCAGTCGTCTTGTCTTAAAGTTTCTTGTTATTTTCAAGATTGATATCAGTTAGAGAATTATAAAGTAACAGACTGCTGTTCCCTCCTAGTGTGGGACTATTCAGCAGTAGTTACCCAGGACCTTCCAATTACAAGGCGAGCGAGCTCTTAGACCATTCAGACACTTGGAACTGATCCAATGGCCTATAAATTACAGCTTCCATCAATTTGTGATTTTAGCCTGGCTCCCAGCCAGTGTTGTCGGTGAGTATTTGTCCTCACACTTGACCGGCTGGAACCCACTGGTCACTGGTCACAATTCACTAGAACTCCAGGAGTTAGTTTGTAGGGATTAGATTTTTTTCAAGCTTGATCACGGATTGATTGTTAGTTATTTTCTTTGTAAACTTTTGATATCTGTGTAGCAATTTCTCATGGCTATGGTCGAATCTCTTTTTCATACTGCCTACATATAATACAAGGATTTGACAGTTGTTATGTTTTGGTTTTGTATTATGAGATCGAAGTAAGGAATTCATCCACCAGGCTGCTATTAGTCACCTGTTTAATCTTGATCAAATGATGAAATATAATTGAATTGTTAATTCTAATTTCACTCTCTTCTCTTCTGTTCTGTCAATACACTTAAATTAGATTACATTCATCACTTTCTAATTGACCTTACTAATGATATGCATTAATAATGAGTTTTTGTCTTCTTAGAGAGAGGCAGTCATCTATGGTTAGGTATATTCAACTGACTAATGAGAGTGATTACAATAAGGTGAGCAAGGGGAATCAATCGATGAACTTATGAAGCTATATCGATCAGGATGGCTAGAATTCGTGATACGCGTGTCAAGCTATCACCTTCTTCATCCAGTTATGTTAGCTGACATAAGATTGGGTGGAAAAGAGTTACGAGTAGTTAAATCAAAACCTGGTATCAGTCTATGAAGTCTTTGATAGTTTAAAACAAGCAATAAAGGTTAATAAAGCAGGATTTAATTAAATTCATCAAATTTCGGTAGAACTCGTCAGCTGAATACTCTACATACACGGATATATACTTTTTGAAAATACATTGGGAGATATAGGACTGAATACTTTACATACACGGATATATATACTTTTGAAATTACATTGGGAGATATAGGACTGATAAGTAAATAACTACATTGAATTAGTCATGCAGAAAGACAGGTGCGAATGTTTTTCCAGGTCATGTTCAATTAGTTAAGGGGAGAGAGAGTATGGGAGATCAAAATTAAGATGATTGCATTACGCTTCAATTACATCACTTAGATAAACAATTAGACATTAGTTGATTTTGATCACTTAGGCAGGTGTAGACCGTCGTCTGGTTAGGGTCATTGGGATGCTATGAACCGATGACTAGAAACTGTTAGTGTTGGGGCTCAAAACTGTTCCCAGTGCCAAAGATACATTCAGTCTTTGTAATCTCTTCCAAATCCATTAGACATTCATGTTTTCTCATCTTTCTACTTATTCTGTCGTACATTTCTGATCATTATTGTTCTTTTGTAATTATTCTTTTCTTTTTCTTTTCTGTACTTCTGTATGCTATATGAAGTGTGACAACGTGAACTGCTACACTTCTGTGTAATGTCAATCAGTCAGACAATAAAATTCAATTATTATCTTCTCTGTCTTCTGTAGAGTCTGCAGAGGAAAATGGAGTAATATTTCACAATGAAATTATAAACCCTCTTGTCATTATACTATTATTACTGATATTATTATTATTATCGTTCAAAGTTATGAAGATAAAAAACAATTCAGCGAAGGAAATTTCCTGTGTCGTTGAAGTCATCTTCAGAGGCTGTACAGTCGTACTTATATTTACCAAAAATTCATTGAGTAACATGGGTGACGTAATTGATATAATTACTCAGAAATGGCTTCAAAAGTAAAAGTTATAAATTAAATAACACTCAACCACACAAAAGAAGAAAGCGTTAGAAATTTAATAAGGTTAAAGCTGTTATTGGATAGTGAGAAGGAAGGTAGTTGAGTGTCCATTTAACAAGTGCGAAAAGGGTGAGAATACGTACAAAAGCAACATGTGGGAGTGATAATAGTGAATTAGTTATTAAAGTAAAAATAAAAAAAATTTACAATGAACGACTAATGAAGAGGTTAAGACCGTGGTAGGATTCCAAATTTCTAACGCTTTCTTCCTTTGTGCCGTTGAGTATTACGTAATTTAAAACTTTTATTTTTACTTCTAAAGCCACTTCTGAGTAATTATATCAATTATGTCAACCCCCCCCCCGTATTACTCAATAATGGACTACTACACATTCTTGGTAAATATAAATACGACTGTACAGCTGCCTTTGAAAATGACTTCGGCGATAGAGGGAATTTTCTTTGCTGAATTGTCTTTTATTTTCTTCATAACTACCCACGGGGGGTTTTTTCGGTGATTTGAATCAGCGCAAGAATCCTGTGGCAGTGAGAGAACTTGATAGGTGTCTTTAACATTCAAAATTACTTTCTCAGCTCCATTAAAAACTCAATTAAATCGAGACAGTGAATTTTCCTTTCAATCATTTCACTTATTTCGTGACTGTGCTGTACACACTTTATCTTCAAATGCAAATGCGTTTATGGTGGGTTTTCTCAAGTCATTGTACTTCACTTTAAAATTCTAAAAAACACCGACTGAGAAGCGGCATCTGTGGCTGAAATATGACTCACTTCTCCTGGTTTTCAAGACAGAGAAAAAACAACTATAGTATTTATCACTTCTATGATGTGCACATTTACGTTGTAAAATTTTCCAGTTAGTGGTTAGGATTACGAAAGTAAAATAATTAGTTTGGATACAGAAGGTCCTTTAGTTTTTTTAGCAGCCTCGTTAAATTTCTCGTGTTACCCCAGCATAATGCTGTCTACTCCATCTGCATTTCTTGTTGTTTCAATCTTTCAATTATGTCGTTGGATATAGTTATGCGAACTCACAGATATTTCTACTTGAACTTCAATCTACCACTGTGCAGTTGAAGAAGAAAATGAGGGAAAAAACTCGTAGAGGATTAGGTAATAATAACTTTATTCCAAACAATAATACTCATACAGGATGGTATTTTCAGCATTTTTACACATATTGCAGCAGTTTATCTCCTTGCATAAATATATAAATACACAGAATAGTTTAAAAAAAATAATAAAACCGCAAGAATTGAAAGTCAGTAGAGGAATGACATTTGTAATAATGATCATAATACCAATAATAATTCTAACCATAATTTCCTGTTTATTTACTGATTAAAAGCTGATTAAATCTCTTTTCTGATATTTGTCTCTTCACACACACGAAAATCTGTGCAAAATATGGTATGGTTGAACTTTTATATTTCGTTGTATGAGCATAAATTCTTATGAAATTTCTTATGGTGCCACCTCTCAAAGAGATACAAGGAGAAAGTTGCGGATAAAGAGGATGTTGTGCGTCGGTGGCACAGCGATGGAATACTTACCGACCGCGCCATGTGGTCCGGCCACCAACGCATTTCTTCATCTCGCTAAGCCGATAGAGAAGGAAGGTTGGGCATGAGGCTAGCAACCCCATCCCGTAAAAATAAACACCACTGCTACCTAAACTTCAAGCCTCTAGCTTGAGGCCCAATGTTCCACCAGGAATGTGAAAAGAATGTTCGATATTAAGCGGAAAGACTTTAGCCATTGGCTTGCAAAAATTAGGATGCATACCAACAACAATGTGTCAGTTAGATGAGTCAAAGACACATACACACACACCACTAACCCTGTTTACAGCCGGCTCCAGTATTCTAAGTAAGAGTCTATTTTGAGGAGCCCAGGTAAGAAATAAGGTGGAACAATAAAGAAGAATGGGCAGAATACCTGAATTAATAAATTGTAAGAGAGAAGGTCAAAAAATCTCAACTTCCATGTGCAATAAGTCAAACGAAAGCTTTTCTTAGAGATCAACAGAGATTTGAAGAGAAACTGATGCCAAGATAGGAGATATTCGATTTACTGGCAGTCGTCACAGTACCGTCATTATTACAAAAATCATGAGACTGAATCAGTTCACGAAAGTCTCGTTCACGTTTGAAGCTAAAGTCGACAGTATGACATTTACATGAACACAATTTTGAGACCATATAGGTTAGACTATTGGTTAACATTAGATAAGAAACTATTCATCATATCACAACAATCCAATGCATCAATGACTGGGACAGAAATTGCCAGATCTTCAGCGTATTCAGATGAATATTCAAGTGTTGGTCTGTACGGATTTGATTGATTACAGGATTTCATCATGAGCTGACATCGGTGGGTGTGTACTGTGAAGAGTCTCAAACTAGGACGAAACATCTGTCCAGTACTCCCAGGTTTTCCAATGGTTCTCTAACCAATGTCAGCTCATGATGAAATTCTGTATTCAGATGAAATTAGTTTTAAAAGAACGCAATAGGTCATGGAAAAAGAAATTTCTAGAATGGAGATGATGTTGTTCTTAGAGCTTATGATAGGTAACCTCGTGTGTTCACCAAAGGATGTATATATATTCATTATTGAATTTTGTTTCAAGGATTTGACTACTAATGTTTGATACACTTTACGGAGTTGTTGTATTAGCATAATTATTATATTATGTATAAATAGTTATATTGTTTATGAATTTGATTGATTACTGTGGTTCTTAAAGCAACTTAGATTGTATTATTGTTATATTTTTCCCTTTCTTTTTAGTACAACTTAAATCTAGCTATTAACAATTCATCCAATGACTCTTCCATTATACCGACTACACCTAAATATACTAATACACAGACAACAGGAATTACTAAAACTGTTAAGTCAAGTCATTCTAGTAACACTATCCATTCAAGTAATCCTCATCATTCTATCAGTTCTACTCCTCTTCCTCCTCCTCCCCCTCCTGCTGTTCCATCGCATCATCATCACCATCCTCATCCACAAAAATATGGCATATCTTCAAGTCAATCACAAGAGTCTAGTCGATTGAATACAGTTCGAAATGATACAAATGATTTCAAAGGTAGACCGACAAGTCGTCCTGTACCGTCTGTTATACCGAATGATTTAGACAGTATTTCTACAGACAGTTGTGATGAATCTTGGGATGCACGTCATGGTCAATTGGTCTCTGAATTAATGCGTAAGTTGTAACTTAAATATTGTTATGTAATTTAGATGTGTGTAAATAGGATACATTTAATTTTTATTCGTACCACTGCTTTTCTTTTCTTGATTTAAAACTTAATGCTGTCTTTTTATTTTAATTTTATGATTTTACTTTTCGACTAAGCGAGATTTAGTAGTGCATCGGTAGGGAATTGAACCCCGGACCAGATGGATTGTTGATGAGTGTTGTTCCACCGAACTATCGACTCACTAAAAACGCTAAATACTGCATAGAACTCAGTTCAAACGGAACTACTTATTGATCCGCTGCTAAGTATATAAGAAATGATTAAATACAAGTCGACAATAATCTACATATCTAATTAGTCACACTGCATACTTAATCGATAATTGTTGGAATCGAATCTTGGATTTTGGACAGCTCTTTTGGGTATCCTTTCAGCAGCACCCAATTCTCTCAATAAATTTTTATGAAGTCGAAAAGGTTTTTCTTATCGTGTACCAACATGACAGCTATATGACTTTACATCAATATTATTATCATTATTAGAAGTTAATTGGTAGATGATTACTACCAGAAGAATCCAGAATGCGCATTTCGTCCTATTTGGGACTCATCAACTGGACTACATGTCCAGACATCGTCGAAGCATCTGCACAAGAAGCTGACATGTCAACCTGAGACCGAGCACTTCGGTCCGATCAATCAACGGGAAAATCTAAAATTCATTTGAATATTATCATTATTCTAAGTGAAAAATAGGCTTTCAACAACACATCCCCGTGTTATCCTGTCCTCTGCACTCCTGTTTATTTGGCCGTATGGTTGCCAATAATCTTTCATCTCTTTTATATCAACCTCAAACAAATGCCGAACTCTTCGTTTCGTATTTGGGTTCCACTCTAGGGTTATCCTTGCGTGCTATGTCACCTGGAGATATCTTCAGTGTATATCCGATCTGTCTCTATTTTATTCGGTACATTCGTTGAGCAATTGGTTCTTGATTGGTTCGTTCCCAGAGTTTCTTGTAGCTAATCGTTTCTGGTTGGCCACCTGGCATTCTGTATGCAGTCAGCGAAAGCAGTTGTTAATAAAAGTCTGGTACGGCCTGTTCGAAATGTTTTAAGTGAATAGCGCGTCAAGTTTCTGAGTCAAATAGAAGAAGTGACTGACATTAGTGTTGAAAATCCGAATTTTGTTGTTTCTGCTGAGTGCAGAAGATTTCTAAACTGACTTTAGATTGATGAATATCTGTTTTATCATTCTGATATCTGTTTTGACATCCTTACCCGTGCTGTTGCCTGTAGGTGAAATGATTCTGCCTAGATAAGTGAAGGAAGTGACCTCTTTCAAACTTATTCCATTGATAGCGTTCAGTGGCTGTTGTTGTTGGTGGTGGTTGGTTGGTTATCTTCATCACCACCGTGCGTCGGTGGCACAGTGGTTAGGACTCTCGCCGACCATGCACATGGTCCGGGGTTCGATCCCCTGCCGGCGCACACCCGATATCTATGGTCGGCCTGAATTTGGACTACCGATATCCATGCTGAAAATTCCATACTTGTACTGAAAATACGGTGTGGAATCAAGCTGTAAATCAAAATTAAAAATTAAAAAATAAATAAAAATTCTATATGTCCACTTGAATTTCCGTCTGGCTGCTTCTTCAGCCAATTAGCTGGTTCTGCCAATTTGTTCTTTTTCAGCTGTAATTTTTCGAATTTACTTGACATTAGACATAAATCACATGCATAAAGTTCAGATCTTCTAAGGCCTCCATATCATCGTTTCATCGTATCTCTGTCTTACGCATGATCCAGTCTATCACAGTCAGTAATCATTGCATCAGTAATAGTAGCCAGCCGTGTCTTACTCCGGTCTCCACTTCAAATAAATCAATAAGCAGGTATATAGTAGGAATGTTGACTAATAAATTGAATATACCTCCACGACCCACTCTGAGTAACATAATCTCACAAAAGTTGAACCATTTATCCTTTTTGTAAACTACTAAATATATATTTAACAGTTTATTTCTTCATTATTATTCTGTTCTATCAAGCTAAAAAGCTTTTTGTTGTTATTGTCGTCGTTGTCCATGAGTGAATTAATTGATTTATGTGTTTCATTTTCTTTTATTGCTCTTGAGCTAATGAATTAATCGAAGAGAATGAGTAGTTTAAAAGTATCATTTACTAAATGTTTTATATACAAATAAGCTGTTAGTACAAGAAAAAAATAATAAAACCGTCTCAACACGTTTTTATGAATAGTGTTAGAAAAAAGTATATATAATATTTATAGTTTTTCAAAGTTTAGAGTGCATCGATAGTTCAGTTGTACAGTGGTCTTGTCAACTAAGCGGAAGGTTTTTGGTTCGATTCTCGATCGATGCACTCCTAACGACACACCCTTCCCACCCTTAGTTTACTAGTTGACAATATGCCTGGAAAAGAAGGCAAGTTAGGCGTGTGAAGCTATCAATCCACCATCCCTTAAAAATTTCTAACACCACCAATACTGTTGCTTTTCAAAGCTTGGAGCCCTATGTTCCTTCACTCAGAACTCAATAGAATAGGAAAATAAAAAAAACAAATCACGTTATGGCCTGGATTGACATCATGTAAATGAACAATGGTGAACAATATATGCATTTTCATAGCTTTTTTCCTCTCTGGTATAAAAAGAAATGTGATCAAGACCCCCTATATTTGTAGGGTCGGTACTATTTGTTCAGAAAAGGCGATTGAAGATGAATTTAAGGTTGCAGGCGACACGTTAATTGAAAACAGCTTCCCTGAAAACTTCATCACCAAGAAAGTACAAAAGAATTCTCCCATATCTGTTAAGAAGAAGCTTTTCATATATACGACTGCAATGATAATAATAATAATAACAATAGGTTTATTCCAAACAGTACTTTTGGAACAAATATGGAATTTTCAGCATGTAATACAATATTGCATCTAATTTTCTCATTACAGGGGCAATAATTAAAAATAGGGTTAACGACAGTGTAATAGTAAGAACAAAAAATAACGCCGTTTGCTAAGAGTTCCTCAGTAAGTTGGTAATTTCCTGTCTTACACACTTTTCTCATCACATAAAACGTGTGTTAAAGAAGATATTGTAGGGTGGCATTTAAACCAACCAACTGTCTCAGAGATAAAATTTACCAAATACCATGTAATGCTGTACAGTGAGGTCAATTATACATAGACCAGTCAAACTTGTAGATCAGAGAACATAAAAATTTAGCTAGGCCTAGAATAATTGACCCTGCTAAGTTAAATAACCTAGAAAAACGTTCAGTCATTGCACTGCATTCACTTGCATGTAATCACAAAATAGGGTGGATGGGATAGGGTGAGAGTATTAAAAAATAATATAGTTATGTGGAGAGAGAGGTTAGTCAATGAAGCTTTGTTTATCAATTCAACACCGCACACGGGCAATCAGAAAGACGCAACGCCTATACTGGAGATATGGAAAGCGGCAACAAACAACAGAAGAAAGATGGAGAGATAGAAAGGGAGAAAGTATATATATATATATATAATATATATATATATAAGACAAATTGTGAAACCGTGTGACTAAAATTGATATGATTATGAGTGGCAATAATTTTTGCTCGAAACGTCATCCAGATGTTAATACTGTATCACTGTGTGGTCATTAAAAGAGACTTATCTAATATGGAATTACATTCTACCACAGTGCCCAAGTTCTATACTTACATTACCGTTTGAATATTCTTTTCAATTAGATCTTGTCAGGCTTTACTCTAATATACATAACTTTACAAACAAATAGTCAATATAAACTAATCATGGTGATTGTAAGATTGTGCATATGCATTGTGCAATTAGTCATAATAATAATAATAATAATAATAATAGTACTTCTAGCAATACAAAAACATGGAAAAGTGGAGCAATCTATGATAATACGAATAATGAAAAACAGCATGACTAAACAAACAAATGTAGATAACGGCTTATAAGATAAGGCTTATACTAGATTGTAAGGGAAGTAGGCAAACTAAGTTTTAATAAGAATGCAATAAGACTTAAGAAATGTTAGTTAACATGAGATAATAAGAAAAGGATTATATATATATATAGGCTTATAATAGTATAATCCGTTTGTTAAGTCTCTACTGGCCGAGGAAATGAATAACGATTGTACAAACGTATTCTGAATGCATAACTGAGGCTTACTACTTCAAATATCAATCACCTTACCTATATGTACTGGACTATTCAACGGGATTCGATGAATCACCTTGAATATCTTTGTTTTGTCCACTGAATGACCACTATCAATAAAATGCAATAAAATAGAACTTTAGATAGCTCCTTTTTGTCCTTTACCAAATCATGATACAAGATGTTCTGTGACACGTTGACTAAGCTGTCTAGTAGTACACCTAACGTGGCTATCTTGTCTGTCCACTAAATGTAAAAGATATATTAGTAGGTGCCTTACGAGTAAAGCACGGAAGTCATGTTCGGAAGATTATTTACAGAAACGCCAAAGTCACACAAGAGACAGGTACTTATCATGTTACAATTTAATGAAGATTTGTCAAGTGAAATTTCATCCCAGAGATTATCCAAAACTAACTATACCAAGGATATTTTCTTTTGGTCTATAGAAGTAGACTTCATGGATAACAGAGTTTGACATTTATATACTCGATTCTCTTGTGTGCATTGGTGGTACAGCGGTAGAATGCTCGCCAATCACACAGGTGGTTCGGGGTTTGATCCCCAGCCGACGCACTCCTTTACCTCGCTAGGGCCAGTAATAAGATTGGTAAAGAGGGAAGGTTGGACATGAGCCTAGCAACCTCATCCCGTGTAAATAAACACCACTGCTATTGAAACTCCAAAACTCCATTTTGAATCTTTATGTTCCATTGAGAATGTAAAGGAGCAAAATAAAACAATAAAAATCTCTTGAGACTGACACTGTAAAAAGGATTCAATGTTCAATAGATTCTACGAAGTAATAATAACTTAACTTCGGGATATATTAATAATGCGTAGACTAATGTTGAGTCAGTCAGTGCTTCTATATGGGTCAGAAAGTTGGTTAGCGTGTCACGAAAAGCATTTCTAACAGGTCACACCAGACTTTTGTCAACAGCTGGCTTCACTCCACACCGAAGACCAGATAGCCAGAAAGAATTAGCAACCTGAAATTCTGGGAGTGGTCCAGCAAGAACCTATTGCTCAACATATATGCCGAAGAAAATGGAGATGAATCGGACACATTCTGAGGAGACCATTGAGTGACATCGTGAGCCATGCTCTCGAGTGGGAAATGACGAGTTGAGCATGTGTTCAAGGGTGAAATGGAGGAGATCGTGTAAGAAGGAAAAGAGACCTTTTGCGTAGTCGTGCTACCGGCTTAAGAGGACTGCAGAGAACAGGACAAAATGAAGATGTTCTGTTGAAGCCCACTGGGGAACCCAAGGGAATAATAATAATACTGTGCAACATTAAGGCACATCATACTATTATGTATTTTGAAATGAGCAAAGCAAGACAAGCTTTCACTACTCTCAAGTCTGTGTGGAGGTCAACAACACTCAGCATCAAAAATAAGATCCGGATTTTCAACTCCAATGTGAAGTCACTGCTACTATACGGATCAGAGACTTGGCGCATCATAAAGAGCACATCAAACAAACTACAGACCTTTATTAACAGTTGTCTTCGCTCAATACTCAAGATCAGATGGCCGGTCAGAAAAGATCAGCAAAAGAGATCTCTGGGAGCGAACCAACCAGGAACCGATTGTGAAACAAATAAGCAGGAAGAAATGGAGATGGATTGGCCACACTCTGAGGAAACCATCAAGTGACATCACTAGACAAGCCCTCGAGTGGAACTCGAAAGGGAAACGGTGAGTTGGTCGTCCAAGCGTGACTTGGATGAAGTGATGTGAAGAGGAGGTGAAAACATGTGGGCAGACTTGGAGCCAGATGAAGACTCTAGCAGAGAACCGAACGCAATGGAGACGCACGGCTGAAGCCCTATGTTCCTCTAGGAATTAAAGGAAACAATAATAATTATTATTATTTTTTATGATAAACATGAAGGCAAATAAAATTAGCATTATGCTGATAGCTGGGAGATCTGTTGATAACTTACTAATTAAAGACTCTTTAAATTCATAAGACTGATTCAAAAAGAGGTTCAGTGTGCTGTCTGCCTGTTTTAACTAAAGTCAAACGAATAACTCTTAAAAAAACTGTCAAAATTATCCACCATGAGTAAATATGTGCATACAGGGAAATAATATAATTCTTTGCCTGGTTTGGTTCATTTCACTCTTTCCACTATTGTAGTCATTTTAAGCATTTATTTCGAATTAGTGTATTCAATTACTGAAAATTTGAGTGATTAAAGATAACCGTTTCAAAGTTTTCATTTGTATTCACAAATTGGATTTGTGGACATCCAGTTGATGTCATGAGCTATGAATGGAAATCCGCTATACAATCAAGGAGCATTGAATTGCCGATTTCTCTTTGTTTAAGATTCTCCGACTGTGCTTACACCTTTCTTCACAAGACCATCAGGTGCACATTTTAATACTATTCAGCCATTGAGTTGGAATTCAATAACCTGTGGACGCGCTAAATTTTGTTATTTTGCGTTATGGTCCACGGTGTATAACGCAACTGTCCTGAATTCATTTTCTGGTTGGAGTTCGTGAGTACTCATTGACTAAGAATCCCAAGTTGGGATGAAACGACTGTTAACTAGGGTTCTTTGGTTTTTTCAATAATTCATTGATTAATTTCTCTCCTTGATGAAATCTACACTGGAATTACGTAACTCCTTACTAACCTAATGTCCGAAAAATACACATTTATTGCTGACAAACTTTTCAAAACTCAACTGTGAACTCTGTTAGCCTCAACTGCTGTTTCTCATATATTAGACTAAGAGCCACCCATATTTCGCGTGGGGGCTGATGATACTACTCATTTGTTTTAGTCTAAAGTAGGTGGAGTGGGGCTCGAACAGGGAATCCATTAGCCAAAGATTTGGCATTTCAGTCAATGAATCACGGTGGTGCGTACTGATGAAGAGTCCAAACTAGAACGAAACAGCTGTCCAGTACTCCCAGGTTTTCCAATGGTTCTCTAACTAATGTCAGCTCATGATGAAATCCTGTAACCAATCACATTTCCGCGGGTTTCCCCTACCTCCAAAAAAACCTGCTGTTTTTACGCATGGCTAATTGTATTGTGTTTAAAGATTACTCTTCTTAACTGGTCGGATTGTGTAACATAGTAGTGCTTGTTTAAAGTCAGTACAGTTTTCTTCAGTATTCATCACATTCACTATTTGTAAGGTTAGTGAATTATTTTGTATTTAAACAAGGCAAGCATTACTGTTGTTAACATTATCGCTGTATTTAAATCTCCCACAGGAGACTAAGGGCGCGTATTATTATGCAATAAGATGCTGCATATAAGTGTACAACCGTCGGTGAGAGAAAGAGAGGGAAAGAACATTTCTTCATTCGTTTGCTTGTTTTCTCAATATAAAATATGAGAATCCTCATTTTGATGAGATTTACAAAGTCTTTAGTACTGTTAATTCACAATTACAACTCATATCTCTTTTTGTAATTACTTTTTCAGGTGGACGCTTTATCGATCCTTCAGTGATTGTTCCAGCCACCTCTGGTAAAATGATGAATCCGGTAACAACAACAACAGCAACAGTGGGAATGAATACTGAGTCCTTATATCCATTGGATAAAAATGCATCCATAATCCCCGGCTCAATACCTGCTACTGCTACTTCATCATCTTGCATCTCGTCATCTTCTTCAACACCGTCGTCCTCGTCGTCTTCTTCCTCGTCCTCCGCCTCGTCTACTACTTCATCATCTTCAACATCAGTACCACTTCCTTCTCCGCTTCCTTCACAGTGTATAAATGCTGTCCCACAGTTATCATCGGATCAGTTTAATCCATCTAATGGATTACGTTATCCAGGGAATTCAGTGAATAAAACTAAATTGTCATCATCTAGTCAAAATAATCTACCGAAAGGTTTACCCCCTAATTTGGAAAATCTACCACTTGAAGAACAACCGTTAGTTTATATTTATACTGTATTATTGTTTATCATTATTGCTATTATTATTACCGTGTTATATCTACCTTTATTGAATATGTGTATATTATGTTATATGCCTTCGCCTATCAATGGACAGACATTTCACTCATTCTTAGGCTGAGCTCATCAGTGGTTTGGCTCAGTTGAGAGAACCGATTCAGTTCAAAACACCCGATTTCTCAGTAGCTACTTCGATGAACTGGTAATATGATAAGTCAAATTCGTCATTCTCAGCTTACATAGTTCAAGGAGGTGAGATTTCAGCACAGTTCCCTTTTGGAAACCGAGGGTATTTAGATCACAATATGTTGATCTGCTTGATGATAACATTCATGGTGATCAAGAAAACAAGCATATTTGCCTAAAACTATATACTACTAATTAATTGAGATGAGTAGTAGTTGAATACCAGTCATATCAACTGGTAGTGCTTGCTAGCCAGATCACCTCAGTCAATCAGTGCTATCTAGTTCTATGCAAATATACCATGTATGGTATCACCAAGCAGATCACATATTGTGTGATCTAAAATAACTTGGTTTCCAAGGGAAACTACAGGGAAATTTTGTCACTCAAACTGTGTAGATTGCAAAATGGCTAACCAGTTTGTAAATTGCGAATATGATTAAAGGTGTTACGAGTTTGCCCATTTAGCTAACCAGAAATCGGTTGGTTTGAAGTGATTTGACTCTCTGAACTGAGTCGAACCGGGTACACCGCTGATGAGCTCTGCCCTCGAAACGAGCGAAATGTCTAGCTAGCTAGCTGGCAAGTACTGCTAGTTGATATGATTGGTATGCAACTACTACTCATCTCAATTAATCAGTAGTATATAGTTGTTTTGTGCAAATTTCCTGTTGCATTTCTGTTTTGTAAAATGCAGCCAAGTAGTCTAATATTCTCTCTGGTTGGTTAATCTTTCACATGGTTGACTCTTATTTAACTTAACGGACTCTTCATCATTGTTGTCAATAGAAAACTTCTCTTCCAGATGCTTTAATAACACTAATAGTCTTATAGAGGGCGTTGGTGGCACAGCGGTAGAATGCTCGCCGACCACACATGTGATCCGGGGTTCGAACCCTGGCCGCCAACGCACTTCTTTGCCTCGCTAAGCTAGTTATGAGACTGGTAAAGAGGGAAGGTTGGGCATGAGGCTAGCAACCCCATCCCGTAAAAATAAACACCACTGCTACCGAAACTTCAAGTCTCTAGCTCGAAGCCCTATTTTCCATTGGGAATGTAAAGGAATAAAAAAGGTTTTATAAAAGAATAGAGTATAGAGTATAATTCCAGTATAGAAGAAATTCACTATGATAAAAGCACACAATGGCATAAGTATTTTAATTTGGTCACTGATGATTTTTTGCAGAAGAATTTATTGCTGTTTATAATCCTATCGAAGCTCTCACATAGCACCACTTCCAAACTTTATTTTATACACTTTCATTAGTTTTTATCATTTGACCTAATTGACAATAGTATTTTCCATATCTCTGGTACTGCCGTTGCGTTTATTGCTATTGCATGTGTTCGGGTGTGTAGATTCGATGAATAAAGATTCAGTGATCAACACTTCTGTCTCTCTACCAACCCATATATATTACTTTTTAGGGCTATATCTCTGTCCCACTCTATCTGTCGTGGGTTTTTTTTGTTAATGTGATTACTGAGTTTTTGTCTGAACAATTCATCTTCGTCGTGATCAATCATTACACACTTAACTAAATTCTTATGTTCCAATTATCTTATTCCCTCCGATCTACTTGTCTGAGTTATGTAGACGAAATTATTTATCTCATTAGGTCAATAAGACCCTTGGCAAACATAGAAAATAGCGACAATGGAGAGGAAAAAACGCACACGTGACTTTGAAACGCACCAATGAGAAAAGACTTTGTTTTTGGCATGGAAAAGCCGTTTACTCAAGAGAAAAATACAAGCAATCATGATAAAATGCATTAAACTGTAAATTTTTCCCTGATATGAGTCAAAGAATAGTTCGCAGTTACGATGTGAGGGGTATCAGATTTAAAAAGTTAAACCTAGTTTCTATACATATGCTCATCAAGATGACTAAAAATAACATTTTTTGTGAGACATTTTCTGATCTCTCGAATCCTGTTCTTCAGCCTCTCTCAAAAGTCTTCGATGGGACTAGTATGTGTGTTCCAGTGATGGGGTCGACTAAGTCATCTGAATGATTAACACGATGATGGGTGAAACCCAACTGTCATAACCGATCGTATGCTGACTATTCGTCTGTAGGAATTATACTACCCGGAATTACTAACTGTTGTATAATAGATAGGAGAGTCTTTGCACACTACGATTTAGAATTACTTCCATAATTCCTTTACCAATGATATTATCGCAAAGTTCCACCCATTATTCGTTCTAGGACAACCATGGCTGTACTTCGTCTTCATCAAAACAATTTCATCCGCATGAACAATGGCCTCCTCTCCTACCAAAAGCTGCGTTAGACAGTGACAACTCCAATTGTGAAAAGAAAGTTCCTAGAAGTTATGGAATATAGTGTATGACTTGCCATTTCGAACACTAGTTCTTTTTATACAGTCTTACAGCTGAATACATGTCCATCAGTTGCGTTGGAAAGACGTTGGAAGATGTAAATACAACCTCCACAAGAACATCTGCAATTACGTGCTATTAATCCATTATCCGAACAGTACTTAAAAACATGATCTGCATGAAACGTACAGCTCAAATAGTGCGCAGTGTTCATAATGGCTATCTGATAGTCCTAGGTTCTGTAATCTAATGAATACTAAGCGTTCAAGGTCATTAGTGCGTCTACCCTCTATGGTCACTATTCTTTAGGTCGGTCGAATCCTTAAGCCCATAGAACTTGTCCCTGAGCGACTTTGTAGCTTTAAATGTTACCCTTATTCCTGCTTTATTAAGAATCCTATGTGGGGGTTTACATTACCCTTCCTAATATAGGATCAAACTGTAAATGCCTTAATTTTTTTCTTATTTATGTTATTATGGTCAATAACTTCACTATTGGTTTTCCTTTTCTTGTCAGCTTTTTTCTTTTCAATGAATTTTATGCGATGTTTAAAAGTTATGCGACTGCCTTGATATGAATATGAGTAACCAGAAATTGTTCACGTAACGTTATCAGTGACTAAATAATACTAATATCACAGTGTGCTTTCACCAGGCAAGTAAACTACACTGTCGTATAGTGGCAAACTCGCCTATGCTACTATCCAATTCTTGAGAGGATCACAATTAGAAAGTTATCACATCTTTGATATAGTTAGTGTATATATCTAAGCTGTTGAACAGGAAAAACATTGTTTGAATTTTCACTAACAATCATATATGTGCTTCTCGGTCAAACTAAGGATTGAAGCTAATAAACATTTTAGGAAAATGCTTGATAGTTTTCAAACTCAACTCTGTTGTGAGAATATTAAGAGATATGGTAACGTTGGTGGTCGATATCATTTTCCACCCCTTGGGAAAACGTTGAGGAAGGTTCATTTAATGACAACAGCATCTTGAGAATTAACCGGTACATGGCTAGGACAGCTGTTACGCACGCCTAGCCAACCCTTTCCTCGACGAGCGGTGTTAACTGAAATAGGATCAGGTTGGAAAAGAGCTAGTGGCGGTCAGTCTATGAAATCTTTGACAGTTCATTTTGAGCCAATCAAAAGGAAGGGAGTAGGCTCCCTAGTTGTGGTCCTCGGGATGCTAAGAACAATTGGAGATATGGCTGAAAATCGTCCTCAATAGCTCAGATGCAGTAGTCACTTTCTGTGAACTGTCACATCAGGAAAACCCTATTGTGCTTATTATCGTTCCGAATTTCTTATTTTTCTCTTGTCTTCCTTTGTGTGGTAGGTACATGGAGTGTGGAATGTTGAACTGTTGTACTTTTTTGCAAAGTTCCAATGTTGAAACCAGTCAGTCGGTGTCAACAGTTACATAAAAAATCTATTATTTCAAGTTCTCAAGACACCAAAAAGCATAAAGGAATCCTAAATATAGCCTAAAGTAGACTCTCCATACATAAGAATCATGAAGAGTGAAAGTTACTTCAATATAATCCAATTTGAAGGCAAAAGCAAATTGCTCCTCAATTAGATCAAACCGGCTTGAATCAGTAAGACATTAGTTAATGGAATTATAACTGAAAATGATGGGAAGAGCCCACCTGAAACGGCGAGATAAACGTATTCAGTAATACTTCTAACCACTCTTCACTTGCTTACCCACTATCTTATCGTAAACTGAATGGAACATTAAAATAGGAGGTGATTTCTTACTGGCAAGTGAATGTCTGCTAGCCATTTGATAATAGCATAATATGACAAATTATGCTAAAGTCCTAAACTGGATACAGCTGTATGCTCTCTTTGCTCAATTTTAGGAAATCATGTGCATATGGAACTTATATAACTGTAGGCCCGAAATCGCTCAAATAATTCTGAGTTAGTTATCGCCGATTCACTGTTTATTTTTTCCGAATTTGTGTAAGTTTTCGTTCCATCTACCTATAATGATGTTTCTGAGTGGTTCCTTCTAAAAAATTTGTTTTCCTCCTTTTATGATGATGGGTAGCACTTTATTTATGAGAACCATGACAGCACCCATATCGCGACAGATCAACACCAATTCTTTATATTGTAAAGTCTCATAGAATCGCCTTCTGTGCTCATCTGATATCAGTCTTTAGGTATGTCGCTTGTTAATTAGCATTAATAATATGCTACCCGACCCCCACTTCCCCATCATATAAGGGGAATATAAATTCACAAAGGAAACCATTGAGAAAGATTAAATTATGCCGATTGAACAAAAACTTTCAGCCTTTTGCTAAAATTCAACAAGAGAGGACAGTGGCACCTAATCGATTACTTTCAGAGACAAAGACTGTTGGTTAAATTAATTAGGAATTTAATTGGGATATTATAGAGTAGAATGCGATACTTTTATAC